CTTTTGGTGAAACGTCAATTTTTTAAAAAAAAATGTGCACTTACAGAATATTTTTCTTCATAGTTACATAAAGTATAGTAGAGTTACTTTCAAATTATCTTAGTATTACTATGACTAATTTTGAGAAAAGGCAAGTGACTATATAAGATTAATGGATCTCAATAGAAAAATATAGTACATATGTTATCAAATTCTGGTATTATTCAGTAATTTGAAGTTTCAGAAAGCTTGTTTAGATCTCTACAATGAACCCATTAAGTTTATTAAAAGCTCCCTACTCTTACAGGAACAGCTGCTTTCTGCTTAGAGTCATTTTAGGAATCAGTGATGATGTAGTGGAAAGTGAGCTAAGCCTGGGAATGTCTGGGATCTCCAGCAGTCTATCTTTAGGAACACTGTAACTGTTTTGAGTTCCAGTGCCCTTATTTATTAAAGGAGTTTAACATGACCCACATTACACAATTGCTGAAAATTAATTTAAACAATCTAAAAGTGCATAAGGAAACTCCAATAACTGCATATGACAGGTGTGGTCACTTATGAGTGAGGATTTGAAAATCAGAAATAGGTATAAACACTTTGTTTCTCTTTATAGAGACAACTACAATTCCAGGTGTGGGAACAAAGCTCTATGGTTAATTCGATTTTTATCACTTTGGTTCATTTGCTTAAGGTTCTCAAGACTAAATGTGTACTATAACAATAAATGATATATACGTCTGGAGAGATGACTGAGCAGTTAAGAAAAGAAATGGCTGCTCCTCTAGAGGACCTGTGTTCAATTCCGAGCATGCTCATGGAAGTTCACAACCATCTGTAATACAGCTGCAGGGGATATGATGTCCTCTTTGGGCCTTCACAGGTATTGTATGTGGGTAGTGCACAGGCATACATGTAGGCAAAACACCCATATACCCAAAATAAAATGGGGAAAAAATGAGATAATACTTGAATGATAACTTTATGGTAAAATTTGAATCATAATGTCTAGGGTGCCCACCACACAGAGCCAATACTTAGAAGGGCACTGACAGTGCTAGCTTTAATATTGCAGCCTAGCAGCTAAGACTTCTCTGGTGGGCGGTGATGGCGCATGCCTTTAATCACAGCACTTGGGAGGAAGAGGCAGACAAATCTCTGGGTTTGAGGCCAGCCTGGTCTACAGAGTGAGTTCCAGGACAGCCAGGGCTACATGGAAAGTCCCTCTATTGAAAACCCACCCTCATATCCAGTCTGATTCTCACAGCTCAGAGACAGAGGTTAACATTTTCTGGATATATTCTGATGATAATTAAGTTGTTTTACCACACAATTGTTACTTTTGCAACCACAATGATTATGTTTTTAGTTTTGTTTGCCCTGGAAGCTAAATTGAATGATAATGATTCATTCAAAGATCTTTTATTTATCATATTAGGCTGGTGACATTGAATAGCTTTACAGTATAAATACAATCTAATTCTTTCAAAATGAGAAAGAACTTGCTGTGACTTGCCTTCATATTGTGAATGTCCTCAGTGGCATATATGAATGATGGTCATCTTTATTTATTAAGGACACCCAATAGCAAACAGATAAATACATCATGAGGTTACTTTAATTTCATTTTGTAATAAATAATTCCTTTCTAATTTGAAAATATGTCTATCACATAGCCCAATTATGAAAGTCCTCATGGAATAACTGTAGCATGAATCTTAAAAGATTTTATTAATAAAAACAAACCCAGAGCCAGATATTGGGGTGAACGCTGAAAGATCAGAGAAACAGAACAAGCCACAGCCAATCTCCCCTCACCAATTCCTCAGCTGATCTTGTTTCCTCAAACTGTAAGCCTCTGTGTCCTCATCCAAATGGATCTCAGCTGAACTGCTGCTAAAAGCCTAAAAGCTTAACAAGACTCTAGTTCCTGGTCCTCACACTTTATATACCTTTCTGCTTCCTGCCATCACTTCCTGGGATTAAAGGCGTGTGTGCCTGGCTGTTTCCAGTGTGGCTTTGAACTCACAGAGATCTGGATGGATTTCTGCCTCCAGAATGCTAGAATTTAAAATGTGTGTACCACCATTTTCTGGCCTCTATGTCTATCTAGTGGCTGTTCTCTGACCCCAGATAAGTTTATTATGGTGCACAATATATTGGGGACACAATATCACCACAGAATAACTCATACCATGTCTCTGTAAACATTTGAAGATCATATTATGCCTTTTTGTCTTTGACTGCAAAATGCAAATCCCCAATTCATCATAATACAGTGCAAACTTCATTGTCTGAGCAGGGATACTTTGTAATAATGGAAAGTTCTGACATTGATATTCATACCACATAGTTTCCAGTTATGTTTCTTCTTTATGGGTTTTTGTTTGTCTGTTGGTTTCAGACAGTATCTCACTATTTAGCCTTGACTGGCCTAGACTCACTGTGTAGACCAGACTGATCTCAAACTCACGGAGATCTGCCTGTATCTGTCTCCTGAGTGCTGGGATTAAAGGTACAAATTTCCATGCCTACCACCCAATTATGCTTCTAATTTGAATAACATTATTTGTTAAAGGCAATCATTTAGGCCTAAAAGTATGCATGTAGTCTTTTAAAAATTATGGGATAAATGATGTCACAGGCAAAAGTTTTAAGGTGTAAAAGGCACCAAAATATAGATACACCATTACAGGTGACTATGTTAGAACTGGAGTCTATTTGGTACACATGGACATGTATCCCACTTTAAAGCATCTCTTTGCAATAATATCATCACTGTTATTTCATGATTGAGTGATGAATGAAGAGGATAAACTAATTGTCCCCTCAGAGCTATCCCCAGCTAACAACGAGGCCTTAAGGGGCTCTGCCATTCTGCCAGACACTTCCCAGAAAGCAGTCTATGGAGAATGTTCTGATGCTTGTTGTATAAGTCCCATGGGACTTTCTGCTTTATTAACAGGGCAGTGAGAACTCCTTTGTAGTGCTTTTGGCTCTGACAAGAAACATAAATGTCAAGCCCTGCTATTTCCATGAGCAAAACATGAACATGTTCTTAGGAGGATGACGTGAGTACTCCTGCTTTTGTCCAGGTCTACTCTTGGACTTCCTCTCACACTAGAAGGGCCATGCATGGACCCTTCTTTGTCTTTGGGACATCTATTTCTTCTAATCGACTTAAAATAAATGAGATTATAGAATCAGAATACCATGGTGTCTGAGCATAAGCAGCAAATACATTCCTTTGAGGGCCTCTGCTGATCAAGGAGATAAGATGCAAAACACAGAGGAACTTGACTTGCTTAGAGAGATTATGCAGGTGTGGCTAGAATTGTTATTGAGGAGCAGTCATCCACTCCCAACTGTGTAAAGCCACTACTTTTCATTTTATTGCCTTTCTTGTAACCAATTGGGGTGTGAGATTGAGGAACACAGAATGGCTCATATTATTTTTAGAAAGAGAAATTAGGGGCATTTATTACAGCTTTTGATCTGGACTCTCATGCTGAATATCAAGACTTTGAAAAGATACAAACTTACCAGTCTGAACAGTAATGTCAGATTATAAAACTTTTGCCAATGAAACCTTTGAGTGTGCTTTTAACACAGGACAACTTTCTTTCTTATGACAGGCAGCTGCCTGTTCTATGTACACATATTAGATGCTCCAATTGCCTACTTCAGGGTAAGTCTACTTCCCTCTCAGAAGGAATACTTTCTGTAGGGAAATTATTATCTTCTTTGCCTAAGACCAAAAAGTTTCTATTTTAGAGATAGTACTGAATTTAGTCTTTAAAATTATCAAAAAGGCTATTGCATGGTTTCTAAAACCAGATGAGATTTTAAGTAAGTGTAATTAACCTGGAAGAAGTAAGGCATAAAAACTTTTTCCAACATTCAAGAAAAGCAGGCCTGAGAATCTACCTGCAAAGGTGTTGTCCAGAATTGCAGCAGAGAAAGACAGAAGAGAGATTTCTCAAACATTTAAGGGTACAAAAAAATGGAACAAAACAGGTCTCCCATATACGACTTTTGAAACTGGGACACACTCTGTGATGCAGCTGGACTTCAGTTACTAATCTGCAGGTCTGACTAGTAACTGTTATTGTTACTAGTAATTATTACTTTCATGGATATATTTTTGAAAATAGTCATATTTTGAAATGTGTCTATCTTTGGAACAAAATGAGTATTCATTAATTTTTGTGTAAATAAAGAAATAATGGAAGGAAGAAAGGCATCCTGTTGGTAATATTGTTATTGTCACTAATACTAGGTGAGTCATGAAAAGGGGCCCCTGTATCTTCAAGCATCATATACTCCACTTACAGTGTAATTAATCCCAGTGATGGTGTTTCGTGCCCATATTCTACTTCCATGTGGGTCATTTTTAACTTTTTTGTCACTTTATCATGGTAACCTGAATTTGATGTTTTTTTTTTGCTGCTGTTTCTTTTGGCTAATATTTCTGAGTTGTTTCCATCCATTTAGCATAAAAGGGCCAGAATTACCAGAGATATAGCTAGGACAGACCTGGGCATTTGGGCACTCTCAGTTCTAAAGAGATATAATATGAAGAGATGAGGTATAAATCAGTTTAATAATGTTATTTAATAAACGTATGGGTCTGAGATAGGTCCTCCTTCATATACACATGGCTGTGTAGCTTGGTGTTCTTGTGGGACTCCCAACAGTGGGAGTGGGGGGTGTCTCTGGCTCTATTGCCTGTGCTTAGGACCCTTTTTCTCCCACTGGGTTTCCATGCCCAGCAGTGATATGAGGGTTTGTGCCCAGCCTTATGGTATCTTGTTAAGCCATGTTAGGTGGATATCCCTGGGACGCCTGCTCTTTTTTTGTTTGGTTGTTTAAAGGGAAACAGAGGAGGAGTTCATCTGGGGATGAGGGAAGGTTATGAGGAAAGCCTGGGAACTATGGAAGGAGGGGAAACTGCAGTTGGGATATAATGTAGGAGAGAAGAACAAAAGTTAAAAAAATGTTTCCTTAGCTGTAAAATAGATATATAAATAAATCTGCCTAATAATGTTGTTTAACAAATATTTATTTTCAAATAATTATAAAATACTAATATCAAATTAAGGAACCTATAGAGGTAGGTGTCAGATATGTAAAATGATGAAAGACTCTAATTAGAACTCACAGTTTTGCTAGATACATTCACTGGTGTTATACGATGCTACTGTACCACCAAAGTATGTTTGATGCTACTAAATCTGTTAAGTAATTGTGAAATTCATTTTATAGATGTCCATGAGGTATTGTATAAATTTTTTTAACCAATAAAACAAATAAGAACTGGAGTCGGAATTGACATTAGTTGTCATGATTTATAATACACGCCTTTTCTGTTATTCTGCAGAAGGAAATGCATAGAGTATATTACTTAAAGATATCACCAGAGTTCAAAATATATATATGCTCAAAGCAAATGCCGTCAAAAAGATTTCTAACCTGAAAATGTTTTTGATATACCTCTAAGTTGCTGCTCTTGGCAAAGAAGATAATCATTTCCCTACAGAAAGTATTTCTTCTGAGAACTTGGCAGACTTATCCCAAATGAGGTAATTGTAGCATTTGATATGTGCACCTAGATCACACTGCTGCCTATCATAAGAAAGTTGGCCCATATTAAGCACACTCAAAGCGGTCAGCAAAAGTTTTAAAACAATGAGGAATCTCTCTGTAGTGACTCAGTTTATCCTGCTGGGCATCCCGAACACAGAGGGTCTGGAGACCATGCTCTTTGTCCTCTTTTTGTCTTTCTACATCTTCACGCTGATGGGAAACTTGTTAATCATGCTGGCCATTATCTCCTCCACTCGGCTTCACACCCCTATGTACTTCTTCCTATGTAAGTTGTCTATTTTTGACATATTTTTCCCTTCTGTGAGTTCTCCTAAAATGCTCTTCTACCTCTCAGGAAACAGCAGAGCCATCTCCTATGCAGGCTGTGTGTGCCAGCTCTTCTTCTACCACTTCCTGGGTTGTACAGAATGTTTTCTGTACACAGTGATGGCCTATGACCGCTTTGTGGCCATATGCTACCCTCTACGCTACTCAATCATCATGAGCCACAGAGTGTGTGCCATCCTGGCCACAGGGACATCGTTTTTTGGCTGCATTCAGGCTACCTTTCTGACCACTCTCACTTTCCAGTTGCCCTACTGTGGTCCCAATGAAGTGGACTATTACTTCTGTGACATCCCTGTGATGCTGAAGCTGGCCTGTGCAGACACATCCGCCCTGGAGATGGTGGGGTTCATCAGTGTGGGCCTGATGCCCCTCAGTTGCTTCCTCCTCATCCTCACCTCCTACAGCTGCATAGTCTTCGCTATTCTGCAGATCCGCTCTGCTGAGGGCCGTCGTAGGGCCTTCTCCACCTGCAGTGCCCACCTCACTGCCATCTTGCTTTTCTATATGCCAGTGGTCCTCATATACTTAAGGCCAACCCCAAGCCCTTGGCTGGATGCAACTGTGCAGGTCTTAAATAATCTGGTCACCCCTATGCTGAACCCATTGATCTACAGCCTCAGGAATAAGGAGGTGAAATCATCACTGTGGAAGTTCCTACGTAACCCTAGCTTCCTTCCTGAGCAGCTCTAAAGAAAGACCAGTCATGAACATTTTGTCTGTACGTCATGGGTGGTGTAATGGTTTTATTTGGTTTTCCCAAGTGTTTTTGAAATCATCCTAGTTTTACTATGTGAAAGACTAAGAGGCAAAGGGCTCCAATGAGTTTTCAAAGGATGACTAGGGAATAAACGGTAGAAGGGGGACTCCAGGCTCTGTGGCCCTAGAAACTGCACTCTCTAATGGATATTATACTATTGACAAAAGAGGAAGGTACCCCACCTAGCAAGCAGCATGGCCTATGTCTTCTGTTTGTCTATACTTTCGTTGTTGTTTTTGTTTATTTTTGAGATTGTGTTTTAATCACAAAACTTCCCTTTCCTTTTCTTCCTTTCAATCCCCCCCCCCCGACAGTCCCTCCTGACTCTGTTCCGTGTTTGCCCATCTTAATTTTCCATATCTTTTTCACCCTTCCTCCTCTTTGTGTGATGATTTTTCATGTGGGATGAGTTATAATTTCCTCAAATGTCTGTATTAGATAAACAATCTTACGATTTCTAGTTAATGAAAAGAGATCCTTGTGGCTTCAGGTAGCATCTTGTTATTTATGAGCCATAAAAAGTTCCATATAGAGAAAAGCTTTGGGCCAGGTCCTGACGATTGGATCTGGCCAAAGCAGAGGTACAAGTATGCTAGGGTGACACTAACAAACCATGGTAGGTGGGTTGAGGCCTGGAAACTGGTACTGGCTAGAACGTTTGGCATAAGAATGAGAAGTTTAAATTAAAGGAAGAGAGCCTAAGGAGGAATCTGGAGGAGCCCATGAGATGGCTCAATGGTTAATATAGATTGCCCTTACAGAGGGTTCATTTAGGACCTGTTCAGTTTCCAGTTACATCAGGTGGATCATAACCTCCTGTAATTCCAGCTCCTAGGAGAGTCAATGACTCTGGCCTCTAAGGGAGCCTACAAGCAGGTGCACATACACCCACACAGACACACACTCACACACATAATTAAAAAAAATTTTAAAGGGAAATCTGGAAATATGTGTCAGATTATTTCATGTTCACTACATGTCAAACCTTTCCCAGCTTTATTAGGATCTATCCATCATCCCCTTTCCTCATTTCCTGGCTGTAGTTTCTTAGAGAAGAAGGGCAATTTGCAAGAATAAAAAAGGTGAGTCCTGTTCACTTTTCCTTTTCATTCATTTGGATTTCATTTCCCAAGTGACTCTGCTAAGACAAGAGGATGCAGAGGTAAGGATTCTAAACCTGCCTGCCGGTGGTGAAAATCTTCAGGTTAAGATGTAAAGCAGACATGCAACTAACAGAGAGTTCAAGAATAATATTGTGACCTGGGCAGAAAATAAAGCCAAAGAAATAGTTTCCTCCAATTCTCCCTGGGGGAGGGTGGGGAAAAGGAAATAGTTTCACAGAAAGGGAACTGATGATTGAACACCTGGTTTATTTGAATGCTGCATGTCAATAATGGCTAAGAGAATCAACATGCTTTTGTTTCCTTTGGAGTCTGAGTTAGAATTAATTCCTTGAGTTGGCATACCTTATCTGTTTGCCACTTAAAAGGGAATATCTTCTGCAGGAAGATAAAATTCATTATACCTTCTCTTTGGTAGGTTCAGATACAACTCAGCCTCTTGTTCTAGGATTGGAGGAATAGTTTTTCCAAAATGACTGCCTCCTTGCACAACCCAACCTCTCTTTAGCTCAGCTGCTCTTAAACTTGCCTGAAGCTCTTTTGTCTCCATGGAGAATCTGAGTGGCCCCTATATGTAAACAAGCCACTATCCTGACGGACATCTTTCTAAACTATATTTTTATTCAGATACTAAAAAAATGGAAATAATGTCAAACTATGTTAAGTATAAAGAACTATTATAATATGTGTGGTCCTCTACATACACAGGGAAAATGTAATTCAGTGAATTTCCCGCCAGAACTATTCTGCTCTCATAACCTTAATTCCCTCTGGAAGTCATCATTCTCTCATTCTCACTCTGTTTTTTTGTTTTAATCATATATGCTTTTTCCCCTAAATATTGTATTATAAGACTTTGATGTAATTCTATTAAAAATTTATTTCTTTGCTTTAGTGTTCCTTTTTGGATTTCTATATATTTGTATATGTCTAAAATTATTTTCTATTAGCAAAGTGTGGTAACCCAAAAGCATGCCAACTTTGTCTCTGGGTAGTGTCCCATTATATCAGTATTTGTTCATGTTACTCATAAATAAAGAAGCATAAATTTTGAAAATCTAAGGAATCCTTCATTTGGAATTGCTATACTATTTTGATATGTTATTAATGCTTTTCCTGTGTGCACATAAGACACAAGAACTCCACCTTCAAACTCTTCTTACAGAATTTCTTCCATCAGGGAAGAAGGAAAATTGGTCATTTTGTTTCATTTAGATTTACCAATAACTTACACTGACATGGAATTTAGGTATAGGAAATTCATTTGGAAGATTCACCCAGGAAGCAGAGTGCATTTTCTGTCTTCAATGTCATTGCTATGAGGACAACATACTAAATTCAGCTGCCACCTTGAGATGGACACTGGTTCCCTTCAACAGTGTTAGCAGCAACTACCATACTTTAGAGCAATTGCTTTCTAGGACTAAACAACCTCTTAGGCTTTCTCCTTTTACAAGCTGGAAAATTATCTGGTGGGGTCTTGCTTTGAAGGTGCTTTTCTTTCAGCATAGCCTTGGTTCTAGCACTGAATGACTTCAATAACAACTTTTTCTTCTTCTTTTTCTCCTCCTCCTCCCTCTCTCCCTCCTCCACCCCCCCTCCCCTCCCCCTCCCCCTCCTCCTTCTTCTTTTATTTGGAGGGGTTTCTCTGGGTATTCCTGGGTGTCCTGGAACTCAGAACTGCCTCCTGAGTGTCCGGATCAGCAATAAACTTCTTAGTCTCTTTGCCTCTCCAAACTCACAACTTACATTTTCTTTTGTCCCACTTATTCTTTTTCATTGTAGACCTGCATAAAGGTTATAAGTAGTAACTATTCCACAGACTTAATCTTATGCTGTCTTGAACTTTCTGCTACCAAAAAAGAAAAAGAAAAGAAAAGAAAGAAAGAAAGAAAGAAAGAAAAGAAAGAAAGAAAAAAACCCATAAAACAAGTCAGTTACTTTTTAATTTAGCCTCAAGAAAGTTCTTAGACATAGGCAGAAGGCATCCAGAATCTGTCAAAATATCAGAGGAATTGCCTATACCTCAGTTGCCATTAGAGAGCTTATCTTAACACCCCGCCATGAACTAGATCTCTATTCTCTGCATTATTTTCAACACTACTTCTAGACTTTTGGTAGAACAACTTTTTTTTTTTGGTTTTTTTCAAGACAGAGTTTCTCTGTGTAGTTTTGGTGCCTGTCCTGGATCTCACTCTGTAGACCAGGCTGGCCTCGAACTCACAGAGATCCACCTGCCTCTGCCTCCCAAGTGCTGGGATTAAAGGCGTGAACCACCACCGCCCGGCCTAGAACAGCTTTTTATATTCTTCTTATAGCATTCCTTTACTTTTCTAGTCCAAAGTTTCAAGATCTTCCACTTTCTTATAAAACCAAAAAAGCCACAGGAGCAGGTTCTTCACAGCAGCGCCCGACTCTGCTGGTGCCACCTACTGTATTAGTTACTTTTTGTTCTGTGATAAAGAACCATGCCTGAAAGTAACTTCCAGAAGAAAGAGTTTCTTTTGGTTTATGGTTCTAGAGTGAAGACTCGGTTATGGCAGAGAGGCATGCCAGCAAGTGGCAGACACAGTAGAAGGAGGAAGAACCTGAGAGGTCACATCTTCACCAATACCCAGAAAACAGAGGGAATGAACTGGAACTGAGACAAGACTACAAACTCTCAGAAACCCTTTCCTATTGACATACTTCCTTCAGCAAGGCACCACAGCCCGAAGGTTCTCAGCTTTTCCAAACAAAGCCACAAATGTGTAACTAAGTGTTCAAATGCATAGCATATGGAGGGGAATTCTCATTGAAACCACTACAGTAACTGACCTCTTTCTTATTGGAATACAGGCCTGCTCCAAGGGAGGACATTTCTTATCTTGACTGTAATCCTAGTCAGAAGTCCATGGCTTGGGAAACCACAGGTTTTTAAATAGAATCTGCTATTGTTATTTTATGGAATGGTCATGTTGCCAAACTGTCTTCTCAATATGTTTATCTATCCATTGACTTGGGCTATTCTCTAAATGAGTCAGAGAGGCTTCTTGTTTTAGGGAACAGAAGTCAATGCTTAGAGGCATAAATTGTCAAAGGACTGAAAATAAGAGATTGAGTCCTCAGTCCTAAATGGGCAACTTTTTCAAACCTACCTTACTACCAACAGTGATTAAGTAACATCATAAATGAGGAAGTAGGAAGAATGTAAGAGCCGGAAGACCTGGAAGAATGCTGTGAATTTCCTTCTTCTAGACATGATAAGGCTATCATAATCATGACATCACAGCTGTTGTGTTGACTTGCACAAGATCAAGACAGCCAAAATTTAGCATAAACTGTGAAGGTGCTCTTCAGGGTCCACCATTTACTGAAGAGATATTGGTAGTTAATAGTTTCTGGGGGAAGAAGAATTATTTTATTTTGAACATGTGGCCACTGGTAGATTTTTCCATGCTCCAGTGAGTGGGCCCATATCTTTGTACATTTGGGCAACATTAATTGGATTTGGTGCATCATAAAGAAAAAGAAGACTAAGGGAAGTGGGAGAAAGTATTTGCCAGCTATATATCAAATAACTAGAATATAAAAAGAACTAAAAAAATATGAACACTAAGAATGCAAATAACATAATAAATTACTGATATTGACTGTGCAGCACATATTAGACTTGATTGGCTTAATAAAAGGACACAAAATTTGTTATGTAGAGATAGGGATATGTATATGGGAGGAATTGGAAGAAGATGATGAGCATGATCAAAATACAGGAAAATATTATCAAAGAATTAGTATTTTTTTTAAAATAAAGGGACTGTAATCATGAAGAAATGGTTATGAAATTGTGCTCTGAAAACAAAGGACCACATTCAGCCAATAAATATTTTGAAATGTGTTTAATATCATTAGCCATCAGAGAAATGCAAATAAAAACTACTTGGTGATTTCTCTTTACCTCAGTAAGAAATAAATGGTAATTCTTACCTCAAGAAAACTAATGGTAATAAATGCTGATGAGGATTTGAGAAAAAGGGAACACAGTTTGTTGGAGCATAAATAAAGTCATTCACTCTCTATGGAAACCAGTGGGGAGGTACCTTAAAAATCTAAAAATATGTGTGCCACATAATCCAACTCTACTGCTCTTTGGCATATACCTAAAGGACTTTATACTCTACAATGAAGATATATATTCACAGTCTCTACTGCTCCATTCACAGTGTCTAAAATATTTAATTATCCTGGATGGTCATCAAAAATAACTGAATAACAAAAATTATGGCAAATTCACATAGTAGAATTATATTAAATACTAAAGAAATGAAATTGTGAAAATTTCAGGTAAATATATGAACTTAAAAGAATTATACTGAGTGATGTATTCTAGAATCAGAAAAAAAGTTACATGTTCTCTCTGAACTATGAACCATTGCTTCAAACTATAGCTCTTTGACTCAATTTGTGTTGAGCTCAGGATATTAGTAGAGACCAGGAAGACAGTAAGAGAAGACTGTAAGAAGATAGTTATGATAGAGGAGTGGCTGAAAGGGTAGTGAAATGAATACAGACGGAGAACTTTGGGAGTGGTATCATATAAACAGGGAAAGGGGTAGGAGAATAGAAGAATGGAGGAATGTGGAAAGTGTTTGCAAGAACTAAGGATGTAAGAATAAGACACATTGAAACATGTTACCATATAATTCATTTAAAAATGCATTAAAATAATTTGTACAGATTATCCCTACCTAAGTAGATATTACTAATTATAGGAGTCATGCGTGAACAAATGACATTTCAGTGCAGGTGTGCAATAGCTTCCTATGGACTGTTGATCAGTGAGACCCAGAGGTTGTAAGAACAACACAGGCTGTTTCCATTGTTCTTGCCTGCCCAGTAGAACTAAATGGTAAGACCCTGTTGATGAAGATACCATACACTCTGGTTACAGGACAAAGAAAAACTGACCTGGAACAGGACTGACAGTTCCTTCACTGTTGGTTAGTGTATATAGTGCTAGAAAGTCCGTTAAAGGGCTGCTAGGAGGGAGAATTCATCAATGATTTTGCTATACATGGTCTTTGCATGCACTATGTGTCCACTGGTACATAGTGATATGACTACTAAAGTGGTAACCAACTGTTCTCTGCTTAGATTTTAGACTCACTGTACACAGACAAAACCATGCCTGCTATTGTAAACCTGAAGGTATAATTATAAACTCATTTGGACTTGACTGTGAAGGCCTTTGAAGAAGAAAAGTCAAGCAAGTAGATTCCAATTTGAGGGCAGGAGAACTATGGCTGAGTTCAGCTATTCAGACTCTCAAAGTTTTCTTCTACTTAGTGCTTCTGTTCTGTAGTTCTTCAACTAATTAAAGAAGGGCTGCCCACACAGGGTGGGTGACCTTCTTTACTTCGTTCACTGGTTGAAATGTCAACTTCACTGAAAACACCTTCACTATCACACTTAGAATAGTGTTTGCCCAGGTATCTGGACACTTTATAACTCAATCAACTGACACACACAATTAACTCTCTTAATAACTGCTGTTTATGGTAAGGCATTTAAATTTCATTAATCATAAAATATTATTTACATTAAGTTATGATCATACACACATATAATATGTATACATATATTAGATTGAAGCAAAATTGAATGAGCATTTCTCATTAAAATTCTACTAATTTTGCTTCAGATAAGGATACTGAAAGGCCAAACCCACAAGCATATGATCCAGTAAAAGTAATAGAAATTAATTTTGGAACTATATATTTTATGTCACTAGGACATAAATTTGTGTTATAGCTACAATTAACAGGTTATGAGCAGATATATAGAAATGCTTAATTTAAAAAATAGAGAAAAAGACCTTGTTTTCATTTGCCCCAAATTCTCATTGAATACCAAAAAAATGAAATGTTCTCATTGGTAACTACTATTGGAAATTAAGAATCTGTCAAAGTGATCTACTATTATCAAGACTGTAAGAT